AAATTTGGATGTTATTTCAGGCAGCATCCTGTCCTCTTTGAGGAAAAAATGCAGTTGGGATCAATGCCTTCAGAGTTACTTTGTATTCAAAGACAGGACTGTCAATTAGTCAGTGAGTAATAAATGTTAAATGTCAATTAGTACTAAACTGTCTTTTTCTGTATACTTCTGCGAATCTGTTTCATGATGTCTGTGAAGCTCAGTATGACTTCACCTAAATTTTTTGATGAATGCTCCCCTTTCTAATCTCAGCATTTTCAATGGAATACAAAATATTTGTATTGAAGTTTGACTTGCAACTTTCTTAAATAAATTATCCCCTCTAATATCAATAAAAAGCTGCTATTTCCACATTGACTATATTAAAATACATATTACCTATAGAAGCAGTAAGTTAGGTAGCTTTTGGTACACAGATCTATTAAAATAAATCTGTAAAAGATTAGTGCTCTGTGAAAAAGAAAAGGTTATAAATAAACAAAAACAAAAAAACAAAACAAAAAACACACACACAAAAAAACCACCATGAAAAAAAAGACACATTTAAGCCTAGTCTGAATCTGTTCCGGTGTGTGGAAGTGCAATACACTTCACACCTCCAGACATTTGCATTGGAAGGATTACAAAATTAAGGACCAAAAATCAGTAATAAATAGTAAGGAATTTCACAGACACTGACTTTAATGATTACTTTTAAAGGACTTTTGCTCCTTTTCTGGTACATATGTCCATCTGTCCCCTTTCTGGTCTATTAACCTCAGAGTTATTGCCAGACATAAGCCAAAAGCTACTCCAGCAGCAAAAGCTCTTCTTGTGATGTGGGTGATGGGGTCCATTAATGCATCAGTCAACAGAGGTCTCTAAGATAATACAGATTTTAAGATTGTTCTTGTGAGAACCAGCATGGTGGGTAAGGGGAAGGAACACACTTTTTTCATCTGTACAGAACATGCCAATTACCACCTTTCTGTAACCATCAGGTCTGTAAAACGCAGACACTCTATATTCTGCAGAACATGACCTCACTCTGACATAGCTTAAAAAGCAGTAGAAGAGCTCGTTAGCTATTCTTTGTGGAACTTATCCCTTCTATTAATTCTCTCTCTTATCTAAATTAACTGTTTAATTTTCAAAGCTCTTCAAAGACACAAAAAAGGCATTTCCTATCGGATGTAGAGTATATACTCTTGCCACCAAGCCTGTACCCTTACCACTGTGCATGGCTGTTCACTTATTCAGTAGCTCAAGTAGTTCTCCAGAATGTAATGAATCTTCTGCCTGGGATGTACAAACACATTCAGGCTACACCCTTCTCAGACCATCATTTTGACTGGAAAATTGACAAACTGCTTTAATTTCTCATTGCTGCTTTATATCACAGCAACCAAAGGAACTACTGAAACAAATGTCATTAAGGAGGGTGAGTACAGAGGCTGAACAAACAGTTGTAGACAGAACACACACAAGACCAAACAATGAGGTTATATTTAATAGCACAAGCACAGAAACTCCTGAGTATTGCATGATTTGAGTACCTACTGCTGTTTTATATCTTCTGTTGCACGTGCTGTAGAGAAAGCACAACGCAAACTACTTGGCTCCATCAACCTGATACAAAGTCAGGAGGATGCTTCTCCTTTGAAAAGTCTTTTTTTTTTCCCCCTCCCCAGAGCTAAACAAATCTGTTCAGGACTGCTGCTATCACTATGGTTACAGTCAGCCTCTCCAGGAGCTCTGTTTGTACCACTGGCCCTAAGAGTAAGAGGGAGAAGCAGAACAACAGCACTGGGCCTGATGCAGGCTCAGGCACAGACGGTGGGGTCTAAATCTCTGCCTGGCCTGTGAAGGCAAGAGGAAAGGAAACTTGACAGGAAAAACTGGAAAACTAATAGAAAAAAAGCAGAATTATGGTGACAAACCCCCAGATTTTCAGTGCACCTCAGTGCATGAAAGTAGAGTCTACATGCTTTACATCACCCAAGACTTGGGCATCTCTGGGGCAGAATTCATGTATGAGGTATGATATATCAGCCCTTACCCATGCCTCCCTCCCTCCACATGTGCTTGAATGTGAGATTAACATAGACCAGCTCTATTTTTCTCACTTCAAATTCAGTTAAGAATTATCTTTGTGCCTCCAAATGGCTATTCAATTTGTCATTAATATAGCTCCTCTTCTTTAAGGCTTTAATTATTAAGTTAAAAGCACAGTTACAAAGAGCCAAGAAAGAAATCACTGATTCAGTGTTATTTTTGACAGCAAGAACCCTTTTCTTCTGCTTATATGGTCTTGATCTTGACCTCCACCAGCCAAGCTGTGCACCTGGGTTTCACAGAGCCAGCATACCAGGAAACTTCTTGGGACTTAATCTAAAATTACCCTGTGAAATGGCAACCCCAGCTCTCCATCTATTTTGTCCTGGGCAGGTCCCTCCCAGGAGTGGTGTACCCTTATTCAAGACGGTTCCTATTTCCCGTGTGGCTTTCATTACAAACATGAGCTCCTGTTTTGTGGGGTTGGGTTATTCTGGGGGGAGTAGTGGTTCTTGTAAATCCAAAAGCAGTACAGCTTCAGTAGATCACATCCTTTCACTCTGAATTTAAAGAGTACTAATGTCTTCTTGTCTTACCTTCTTCAAGCACCTTAGATTTTCATTAAGATACCACATACATTTTAAGGCAATAGTACAGATTATCTGGCTTATCTTTTGCTTCAATATTTTGACAGTAGGAAAATACAAAATTAGATGAGTATTAACAATCACAATTTTTGGTGACACAGATGAGAATCTCAGTGACAGTAACTGTTAATAACAATATGGACTAGTTCAGAAAGTATTCAGACTTTTACACTGAAGATGTACACTAGATGTTAATAAAAGTTGCATCACTAATTAAATACTTTGGCTAGCATAAAGTTGAAAACTATCCTTCTTGCCGGAAATTGAACCATTCTAAATTTCTGCTGTGTGGAGTCAACAAATGCCAAAACAGTTTGTGTAGTTGTTTTGGTTTTTTTTTTTCTGTAATATACCCGTTAAAAAGGAAGTTTCACTTTTAAAGTCAAGTCGTTCTAAACTCCTGTCAGTATTACCAAGAAAAATTCAGAGTCACTCTTAATGGAACATGAAGTAGATCCCAGCTGTTTCTTTCCACTGAAATCAATTGGGAGTATGACCCCAATAAATGATTTTGAAGTGCAGAGAAAAAATTGTTTGTGTGCCTCTGCTAGGACATAGTTCTAGCTGCCACAAATCACTCCATTAATGTCAAATTCCTAGGCATTGAAGTTAACATTTCTGTGGTAACAGAAACAATTTCTAAATACTACTTAAATTTGTCCGTACTTGAACAGTGAACTCTAGTAATGCTGAAGGGCACAGAATTATCTCTCTGCGCAGCTCCAGGGTTTATTTATTTGGTATTCATTATGGAATAGAGCTGAGAACATTCTCACTATTGTAATATGAGAATGTCTCTTATGGGAATATCTTAAGTTTGCAGACTCCTAATGCTGATTGCTTACAGTGATAAACACTTTACATCTTTTTCTGAAATTAAATTGTGCTCCATAGCCAAACACTATATTTTGAGAAAACCTTTCAATTTTGAAATCCAAAAATCTCTATCTGCTCTGCAAAAATGAAGGAGATTTAACCAATACTGAAAACGTGCAAATCTGAACACCTGTCTTCAGTCGTCCAAGGCACCATTTTACAGCTATTTTGGAAGAGATTTCCCACAGAAAAGATACCTTGAACTTTTGAGCATTATTTTAACAGCATTCCCAAGCTTTTAGGCTACCTAGGATTTTAAAAACTCTGTGTTGCTAGGTAAAAACAAATCAAAACCAAAACAAAACAGAAAAATAAAAAAAAAGAGAAAGTATAAATAAATAAATAAATAAAAATAAAATTAAAAAAGAAAGTCAGAAAAGGAAGAATGAAGTAGTAAAAAACCTGCTGTTTCATACTGTCACAGACCACCATCCCTTGTCAGTGTTCTGCTCCTGGAATAACAAGTGAAAATGGTGCCGCATGTCTTTGTAAGCAACACAGTCCAATTATCACTTGGTGTGCACAACTCTTCAATACTGACTGTACACAGTGTTTTCTCCAGCTAATTAAAACACGCGCTGACATTGTCTTCTGAAATTTGTTCTACCGGCAGCTCGAAGTAATTGCTACCAATGCCATTTCGTTTAGACCCCACCCACTTAAATCACTTTACTCCAAAACTAAGTTCAGCCAATTTATGGTAATATATGTACGCCACATTTCCCAATACTCCACGGATCCCTCCGGTAGGCTTCAATTATACAATAAAATTGTAGCAATACATCCTCCCGAGCGTGGCTGGGTTGTAACCAAGACCCTCAGGGTACCTTAGATAACAGAGAGAAAACCCTCCTGGGGACGTATTTCAGATGTTTTTGATAACGATAACATCATAACAACATTCTGGCAAAATCTAGTCTACGTGCGGTTTTGGGATCCCTCAAGGCACTATTTTAAGCGTTCACGACAGGACCATGATGCGGGCCGGGGAAGCACCGGTGCCTTCGGCTCCCCCCAGTCGCGGAGCCGCACCGGGCCAGCCCCCGCGTGGGAGCAGCTCCGGCCGTGCCCGCCGCCAGCTCCGGGAAGCGGGATGCGGGTGGGGGGCCGGGGTCACCTGACTGCGCCGGGCCACCGATCTGCGGCGGCGGCAGCGCCGCTCGGCTCCGCTCCGTCCCGCCCTCTGCACCGGGCTAGGGGGCGGCGCTGCTGCGGCAGTAGCGCGGGGATTAGGCTGCGGGAGGATTAAGCCGCCGGCTGGAAATAGCAGCGTCGGCTCCCGGGCGTGGACGCCCAGCGCATCCCCGGCGGCGGCGGGAGGGGACAGCCCGCCCGGCACCTGGGGCTACCGGGGCCGGGGGGACGGGGGGGGGGCTGCTGCACCGCGGGGCGCCTCGCCAGCGGGCCGGGCCGGGCAGCGGTGGCGGCGGGGGCCGGCAGTGCCCTCCCCGGAGCGGCGGCAGGAGGACGGGAGGGAAGGACGCGCTGACAGGTCGGCCGCTGGCGCTCGGTCCGTCCCGCTGTCCCCCCGCGCCGGGATGCTGCATGGCGCCGGGCGCCGCCGCATCCAGCGGCGCCCCGCAGGCTCCCGGCGCGGGGGGGGGGCCCGGCGG